ATCCTGAATGACAGAAGGGGAAAGCAACAACAGAATTGTGGGAAGCCTTACAATGCTCCAATTGGAAAAGGAAAACAGAAAGCTGCTGATGGTAAGCAGTCAAGTGGGAGAGGTGATCCTGCTGGTATTGTGTGTTTCAGATGTAGACAACCTAGTCATAGGAGTAATGAATGTACTGTTGAATTAAAGAGGTGTTTCTATTGTGGCAAGATTGAGCATAGAGTTAAAAAATTTAAATCCAAATTCTACAAGGGTTGGTGCAAATATTGAAATCTAAATGTGTTAAATGGTGATTGAAATTATCTTGTTTTTTATTGGTTGTAGTTTTTGTGCACTTTGATGTTGTGATCAAAAATCGTGATGTTGTGATCAAACATTCTTGATAATGTGATTAAAGCTAATGCATCTAAGAATGGTGATGTAGAATAACCTCAACAAATTGTTGTCCAAGTTGATGTTAGTGATAACAAGAGAGAATCAAAATTTCAATATTCGGACAAACCTCTGGCCCAAATTTTTGTTTGTTCTATGTTTGTGACAACAAGGATGAATTTATATTTCAATATCCAAACACACCCCTGGACCACATGGCTTGTTTGTTATGTGCTCTGTCTACTTGGAGGATTTAACACACCACTCTTTGTTATACATGTCATCCCTCAAAGGGTATGAAAAGACTAAATTATTCAAACCCAACAATTTCTCAAAAATTCCAAGTTTTCAGTACCACGCCGTATTTTTTAAATTCACTGGGTGATACCGGAAATTTCAAGGTGATAACAGAAATATCGTGAAATAGTAAGGAATTTACGGTGGATTTATGTAATTTTCGGTATTTTGTACCGAAAATTTCAAAATATCCGGTATATTATAACCAAAAATTTTGAAATTTATGGATTTAGTATTTACCTTTTGTATCGGAAATTTTGAAATTTCCGGAGCTTTGGAGCATGTACCAGAAATTTCAAAATTTCCGGTAGTTCAATTTTTTTTTAAAAATACCGAAAATTTCTAAATTTTTGGTAGTTTATATTTTCCTAATTTTCCCCCCTTTTATTGATTGTTTCAGTGAGGACCAGGGGCAAAGATTGCTCTGTTGCAGGCAGAGTGGCCGATAGAACGGAAGCTCAGGCCTAGACTGACGAGGTACATGCTTTCGAGCTACGGACTAGATGACGTCCTCCGACCGATTTCATTGGGGAGATGATGGTCACATTGGATGATGTTGACGCCATATTTCATATCCTGATCATTGGTACATTCTTCACACCTCCTCATATTAACCATGCAACAGCGGTTCACATGGTTGTGGATGATTTGGAGGTATCTGAGGCGAAGGTGCTAGAGGAGTTTGGCTTTAACCGTGGATTTCACATTTGAATGTCTTGGCTTAGAGAGAGGTATGTGGAGCATGTGAAGGCTCATAGGTACCAAGCTGCCGATAGGGCTTACATGCTACATCTGGTGGCATGTACTCTCTTTGCAGACAAGTCTGGAGTTTACATCGATGTTCGTTACCTATCTTTGTTCAGCACCCTTGACACTCGTTGTCGAGCTTGGGGAGTGGCGGCGTTGACCATGTTGTACACAATACTTGGAGTTGCTACTCATCCTGAGACCAGACAAGTGGTTGGTTACCTTAGCCTTTTACAGGTATACTATAATTATTTGATGGTTTTTATTATTTATTTGGGTGTATTTATTTGATTGTTTTTATTTATGCAGTGCTGGATATACGAGCACTTCCCCCACATCTGTGACTGGAAGATCCAGCGTATCCCGGCTACTATACCATGTGCGAGGAGATATAAGGCCAAACAAGCCCTTCCAGGAGATTTGATGGAGTACCGAAGAAGGCTTGATGCTTTGACCGTAAAAGATGTCGTCTGAACACCATATGCATCTCATCGGCCTCATCGTGCATTTGACGATGCTTCTTTGTATTCAGGGCATATTATGTGGGAGAACCATGTGATTAGACACTTGCCTGAGAAATGTCTACGACAATATGATTTGATCCAGGGCATCCCTCGTCTAGCTCCCGAGGCTCTAGCTGATGGCATTGATAGATGGTTTCAAAGTCACATCATCAACTTTGCGCGTGATATCAGGGAAAGATCTGTTGTGATTCAGCATCCTTTACAGTTCGAAAATGGATACCTGGAGTGGTATCACAATGTATCACACCCTCGGGTCATACCACTGGATGCAACATCTGATGTTATGGTGCCTTCGCGTGCTAGGGTTTCTGCCGAGCGACCACCACCACCACCTGTAAGTGACCAAGACAATCGCCTACAGTTTATTGCAGTTCATTTAGATAACCTCATGGGTTTGGTAAATCCTGATGGTGAGATTTATACAAGTTTAGCTAGGTTAGCCGACGTAGCCCGTGGAGGGCCTATGTAGATCTCTTTTATATTGGTTGTATTATATGTATATTTTGTGACACACAAATTTCTTTTTATTGCATAATATTTTGGCGATTACATGTTTCGAATTGATGATGAACATAACATAAAACAATACAACAAACAAAAACTAAAAACAACTAAACATGAAAACCTAGGCACTACCGAATGATTCTGGATGTTTCAGCATCTTAATTATGTCGTCGACGGATCTTCGGATCTCTTCATCCAACTCGATCAGACCTTTAGTTATCCTACGGCGAAATGATTTCCACATGACATTCACATCTTCATCGGTCTTCAACTCAACCAGGTTGTATTTCACCCGTCCATTTGTATCAATCAAATCTTCTCGAAACTCGGATCCTTGTCACCCTCATGTTATCGGAATCAGGCAGCAATGCATTCAACGTTTCTTTTAGGATGGCAATGGATGTGTTGCCATCTGGAAGCTTGAATTCAACAACAGGATTGCATCTGTTGTAATACACTTCTGCCTTAATCAGAAACAGAGGAAGAATCATTTTGTAAGATGCCTTTCTCTATAACACATGCCTCTATTTATATAAATGGCGATGTATTTTAGACCACAAAAATGTCGGTGCAATCAGAACCCTGCAAAGATATCGACAAAATCTCGGCCGTTAAAAAATTTGAATAAATGAACTACCGAAAATTTTAGTATAACTCAAATTTCCAATACTGCCTAATAAATTTGAAATTTCCGAAATACAAAAAATTTCAAATGCACTACCAAAAATTTTGCAGGAGTGTATCAAAAATTTCGTCAAAAAAATATTTATATCTCAACAAAGGTAATTCTAAAATAATTAAAATTAAAGGGTGCCACAATTAATTTAGAGGGTGTCATGTTAAATCCTCGTTTATTTAATAGCAAAGAGCGGATCTAAATTTAAATATCGGAACATATTTTTTTCTTGTAATTCACGTGCTAAGGTGGGTCGGTGAGTAAGGCAATGATGCGTAATGAACAACCTCCATTTCATGCCCCTTTGCCATCCCTAGGCACAATTCCTTCCATCATTACTGCCAACTGCACAACTTTTACCATTGATGTTGCCGCTATATGACATTTCCCCTGCCTTCAACTATCATTGCCATACATATACACCTGCGTTGCATAGGTACATACCCAATACCCGGTACAGGTACTGATATAGAGTATGATATTTTTAAAAAAAACTAAAGTACGGATATGTTATAATCTTTTTAAAATATAATAATAAAAATCACAAAGGAATTATATTATTTAAATGACAACAGATCATTATAATTAAAAAAACAATTTGCTTAAAAAAATTAATATCAGCTCAATAACATAAATAAATCACACTTAAAAAATATTAATAAATCAGTAAAATTATGACGGAATATTAATATTTTCTTCTCTAATATCATTAAAAAGAGTAGTTTCTAATTCAAATTCATCGAGAGAAAGATTAATAACTTCAAGAATACCAGCTCTATCAAATAGATCTTATTCATCTCCACCAATATACACATTTTTGTTGCTCTTTCATTATAAACCTTACTCTTTCTCGAGGAAAGACGAAGATTTGTATGAACAAAAACTAAATCCTCATCCCTCTTTGAATTGAGTCTATTTCTTTTCAATGAGTGAATAAGTCCATATGTGCTTCACTTTCTCATAACCTAATTGTGAAAGAAGTTTCAATACAATAGATTGAAGTTTAGGGATTGAAGATCCATAAATTATCCACCATTCCTTTGATTTCAAGTTCCACCTATTCGAAAAAAATTTAAAAAAAATTGGGTACGTGGTACCAAATGTGTACCGGGTGGTATACCAACTTTAAAAAAAATATAAAAAAATTAGCATGGCTTCGGTGCATACCATACGCGTACCATACGTGTACCGGTATCCAATAAATATCCGGTACCGGTACTTTACCTAAAATGGAGTATCCGTGCTTCACAGGTCTGCACTAACTCCCCATCAGCCACGGTCACCACCACTGCTGCGATAGACCTTCCACTTGCTAGCATTAACAGTAGCAGTATCATTTTGATATAACAAATGGGTTTCAACTTTTCTTACATTTCAACGTTTACCGAAATATAGATCAAACATAAGAAGCACAAACTCTTTCAAAGAGACATGACAAGAACATGGATATAGAAAAGTCGTTGTTAACCAAGATTATGTATATTTTTAGTTACATAATTTGGTTTAGTAAACCAATATGCACAGACATTTAACAAAGATGGATACACCGAAGCAGCAGAACGTCTTTTACCTAGCAGAAACTAGAAACTGATAGCACCAGTTTATGGCTATTTTTTCTACTGTATTTAGCAAAACAAAATTATTGGAACCATAGTGTCAGAGCCAAAAATATATTTTTCTAGTTTCTACGCCTAATTGATCTATCAACACTTCAACAAATTCCTACATTGGACTTTAGTTTAATAGAATACAATGGATCCTGAAGAAAGGAAGGGGGGATACACAGTGAAAATTGAGCAGTAATGATCAGGAATAGGCAACAACTCAACTTGGCAGGAAAGAACCGGATTGTTGGTTTGATCAGCACTGCCCAGCATGTTCTATCTACCTTGTTCTTCTTCTATATCGGATTCTTTTCTTGGAGTGACATTGTCATGCGAACTTTCGGTTGATTCCTCAGTGTTATGTTTGCCCTGTTTCATAAGATGTGAAGGGATAATCTTTACAAACAATAATAGATAATAAACTTCTAGCTGCCGAAAAATGGTAAAGGCTCGGCAAATGGACAGAGAAGGATACTACTAAAAATACCCACTTCAACACATTCTTTATCTTGGTCTATCTTTACAGTTAACCCACTTGCTTTGTAAATTGATCAATTATAAAAATGTGTCCGGCTTTTAAAAATAGATCAGTTATAAGAAGTGTGTTTAGAATATTGAGTTGCAGGGACTCTTAATGGACGTTCTATGAAATTTGAGAATAGTATCTCCAAAGATTAGATCCCAAAACAATAAATAGACAATTTGTTCCCCTCAAAACATGAAGCTGTGGGTTCAAATAACTGTGCAGTGAGTTTAATTTTAATGCCAAGGAATTGCCAACTGAGCTGGTATACCGCAAAAGTGAATTTTTCTGAATTCGATTTATCAACACAGCTGTAAGCACGTGTCCTCTACTTGATTATAAACAAGACATACTTTGAACACAAAGAAGATCTTACCTTGTTTCTGTCACGCCAACCGAGTCCAAAACTTAGAAGACCAATTTTCCGTGAAGGGTTTTCTACACGACCAGCCCTACAAAAATAACACCAATCAAAATTATTCAAAATAATGCAGTCTCGAACAAAGTCGCCTCAGATCATATGCCACAAACACACTCTTTGTATTAGCATCCCTTACCCGCAAATCCATAGAAACTATGTAATGTCAATCAAAGGATTCATATGGTAGAAAAAAATTATTAAATGAGAAGTGAATAAACATGCTTTCTAAAGTTGAAGATCAAAATAACTATCTTTCCAATATTTGAAGTTTTCCCATGATAGGATCAAAATAACAATTTTCTTTCCAATAGTTTGTCATTTAGAGAGTTATTTGCAACTTGCAAGCACAAGAGAAGTATGGATAATGATATTGACAAGAGACTTCAAGCCTTTCACTGAACTTTGGCTGCTCTCATTGCTATTCACTATTGAGTTTCATCAATGAAAATCGACCATATAATGATGTTTTTTTAAAAAAAATCCTCAATCTCAATTTAATAACTACGGCTTATGCAATATGGGTAGTTCATAAAGAATGCTGTTTACATATAGCTTTTTAATTTAGTAGTTATCTTCGGTTGTTCGTTTAGTTATTTATCAATGAGAATGGCCAAAAAATCTAAAAAATCATCTAATGTACAAGTCAGAACCTGTCTGTGACATTAAACTTATGAAGCAGGTTTATGATATTATGAATCAACTTTTAATTTGTACCTTGGAGAAGATTGCGCTTTGGATTGACCAGATTCATATTGAAGGGTAGCCTCCAGCATACTTTCTGCCATAACAACTCGCTTTTGCATCTCAGCAATTGATGCTGTGGCCTTCTCATATTTTTCCTGCATATTTATTATACTGGAAATAGATATAATCGTGTCTAGTAAGATCCTTAACAATTCGCACATTGCGGCTACTTCTTTCTCTCTGATACCAGAAATTATAAAGCTCTGCAACATCAGGCCGGCACGTGTTGCGGGTATTTGTATCAAAGCAAAGATATAGGGGAAATTTTAATTTCATAATCTAGTTGCCTAAAAAGTAGAAGACATCCATAGCTCACAATGAATAAAATACAGCCAAAAGGAAAATAATATGATCTTTTCCATGAAAATTATCAAGAGAAAACTTTCCCACAAATATATTACAATAAGAACACATTTTGAGTAAAAGTTATATTAAGATTTTCCCCCCCATGTTAGACAAAGATATCCCTACTCTCTTTTCAATTTTTTAATCATTTATCATTTTCCAATTTCTCTTCATTTTCCTGTCCTCTTAATCTTCTTTTGTCTTCTTCTTCCTCTCATTTTCTCTTCCTTTGTCTATCTCTTCATCTCATTTTTCGAATTTGAACCCATTTTCTGTTTAATTTTTTTGAAATTTTTCTACATTCAATTTTTTTCCAATATGGTAGATGTACACGGGAAATAAATTCATGTACACCCATGTGAATTCACGTAAATATACGTTAATTGCAAATTTATGTGTTTACTAATACCAAAGTCGTGTATTCATGAATTTCTAAAAATCTGTCCACGTATGTTATGCTAAGAAAGAAAAAATAATTTAGTGAATTGAGTCACATACACCTACGTAAGTTGAGTTTAAGTAGCATCTTAAAATTTAGAATTTATGGGTGGTACATGAACTCATTTTACGTGCATCGTACATGAAAAAATAATTTAGTGAATTGAGTCACATACACCCACGTATGTTATAATTATTTTTTGACTTGTGTGAACTTAATTCATGTACGATTCTCAGATGCAGAAAAAAATGCAAACAGAAACAGTAAAAAGATAGCTTACATATTCGGAGACTACCATTTTTTCTACAATGAGAGCTACCTTAATTTTCTTTCCAATGATATCATTCCTAATCTTGTCTCATTAACATTCTCATCTTTGGAACACCAAACTTGCTTTCTTGTTAGTCTTTTACCGGGCAACGTTAAAATTTCTACGAACAAATTCTAATTTAAACTTGAGTAGCCTTCTTCTATAACAAATCAAAGCAGAAACACTCTTCCATTACATACACCTGCATGCTTGAACCTTGTAGTTTACATCTCCATTTATCTCCATATCATTTTGTTTGATGAAACCAAGTTACGCAAACAAGGTGATGTTTGGTATAGATGTTTGGTATATTGTCTGATCTCCAAAACCAACAACCTATCTTAATATCTTGTAGATAGTTTGTTCCCATGCTTTGGTGCTTAACACATCAAGTGCTCATGTCTTGCGTCGTCGCTTACTCCATTCTTAGTGTTTTATTTTTGGTATTATATAGTTATTCCAATTTTACATAATGGAATGCTTCATAATATTCCCTTTTAACCTTAGTCTTTTGTTTCTATCACCACACCGTCAAGAATCTTTATCCTTTAGATGATTCTCATAGTGTCTGTTTTTCTACCTTCCCAATTTCTTCAGCCATCTCGTTACATGCCATCACCACCGGTACTTTCTCGAATATCCTAAAATGAGCCTGTTTGCTAAAGCATTAAAAAAATGGATTTTTTCTTTGTATTTTCGAAAATGAATTTTATAAAACCGTTTTTCAAAATATTACAAGTTTTTTTATATTCGTTTTTTCTAAATTGAAAGACTAATTTTTACATCCTATAACATAAACATACATTATTGAAGATCAAAATATTGTTAAAATCACAATTTTTTCAAAAAATTGTATTTCAAAAATGATTTTCATGAAAAGCTATTTGAAATAGCTTCAAAGTTAAATGATTTTTTGAAGTTTTGATATCCAAAAAAAGTTTCAATAAAATGATGAAATATCTAACATGACATTTTAAAAATAACTATTCAAACCAAATTTTCATTTGAAATTTTTATAAAAAGTTTCTTTGTAAATTTTTTTACACAAAATTATATAACACTATAAAAATCATTTTAAAAAAAGGTCAAAACAAAAGGGCCCAATAGCTCTCTCTCAAAGAAACCTTATTTTCACCCTTTAATTGATAACTTGACTGTTCTTGTTCACTTTTTCTCCCAGTAAGACATAAATTTTCACGAATTTTTTTTATCCAATTTTTTTATGAAAAAGAAGTCATGTTAGAGAATGTCACCCTATTCATGTATGTGATAAGACGCTGCCCTCTCTAATCCTCCTATCTATTTATAGGCAGCATGCATCATTTATTTGGCCTGAACTACCTCTCAAGTCTCAACAAAACTACTAACTAGCCCCATTGGCTAATTAACTAACTAACCAACTACTTAAATAACAATTAACAATTTCTTAGCTAACAATAGGAGACCTAACAGTAACACTAATTTTGCTTCCTTAATCGTTTTTAACGCATAGCATTCAATTCCGTAAAACACTGAGGACGTTATATATGGGAGATAAAGTTATGCTTTAAACCTAAGAGGTATTTTACAATCACATATTACACTCGAAACATTCCTCTATTTCATCCACCCTACTTGGATTCAATAGTTGACATCTGCCTCTATCTTCACATCACTTTATATTATAAGAGCCCAAAACACATAAAGTGTGAGACTTGTGGTATTATACGTTCTCCATTTTTAACCTCCACATTTGAATTTGTTTGTCTAAATTTTCTCTCCATATACTCTGTTTTACGTCTATTTAGGCGAAAACTATGCACTACCAAGACTTGTCTCCATATCTCATTTTAAGGAAAAACATTGATATGATATTCTAAGCATGTTTCCATATAAATATTTTAGTCCATGGTATACACTAACAAATGACTAGAATCATCGTGACCATTAAGGGGAGAGGTTACCTGGAGCACATGAACTTCCAATTTATGAGCTGCAAGGTCTTGTTCTGCTCTTCTGCGGGCATCTTCAGTAACTTTTTGGTCCTGCTCTAGCCGAATTAGAACCTGAGCATGTAGAAGAGTTCAAAATTGTCCATACAGCTTATATAGATATTTTACTCAATTTCTTTTTACTTATTTACTTCTGCAAATAAGCTTACAGAAATAGACACTGGAGAAAACAGGTGCACATAGAACCTGCAGCATGGCAGCTTCTTGTTCTTGTTTATCGGTAAGGGCTTGTTGCAAGACGGCTACCTCATGCTCCAATTGCTCAACCTACATGATCACACATGTTTGTAGACCTTGAAAAACAACCATATAAGAGGTTTGTAGAGAAGAAAAAAATCATTAATTTCTTTGTTCTTGGACGCTGAACTAGCTTTCCAAGTAGTTGTCATATGGCGTTCAGTAAAAAGCCGCCCCTACGAATTGAATGATTAAATGATATTCAAATGAAGACTATTTATAAACAATGTATATTTGGTAACAGAGCCAACTTAATAATCCGCCTTGTAAATTGCATTGACAATTATTATTCTTTTAATTCATATTTATATAAATTAAACATGAGGTGAGGTACTAACTCACTCAAGCACATTTAATTTAAAATATACTGTCTTCCTATTTTTCACATATTACTTATAATGATATATGTGCTTCAGGAATTTTAGTATAATGGTCTTTCTAAGACCTACACCTTTACCAAAAAAAATAGGTAGTTAAGGTAAGTGTATTGTTTTCTTTAAGTTTCAAAATCTCTCCTTATTCTCAGTTTCTATAGAAAAATGCAAGTTTACATAATATTGAGTTCATGTCAAGACATTATGAAGGAAGAAGCACATAAAATATTTCAAACTAACAATCTGACCCAAGGGTATTAGTTCAAGAGTTAGCAGCCAGAGACTTTTACTGCCTAACTAAACTCCTACAAAACCGGCTTGTAAAGTGAATATTGCCCCACTTATAAATCCATTTTCAGGCCTTATCTTATCTAGTGTCATAGTTTTAACAGAACCTAAGGGTCAAACGTAGATAAAGATGTACATGGGGATCATTTACCAGTATTAGCAACAGTAGGTTTATAAAAAGCACGGGATAATTTATCATATTAAAAGATTCAAATATATCCACAACTAAGTTTAGTACCATGGATGGAGTTAGCTATATGGACCAAGCAGTGCCATTGGGCTCTATCAGAAACCAAATTTTCAATACATAGATAGTTGTTTTTGTGGTTTTTCCTCAGGTTTCCTAGCAGTATTCAATCATTGTTAGTTAGACTATCTTCAATTTAATCCACTTTTTAACCATGAAGGATATTTATAGGAAAATAAAGGCAAGGAGAAAATGACTTCCATTTTCAGAAACTTTATAAACACTATTAAGACCCCACATAAACTAGAAATATGGCTAAAATGTAGTCCTCATAAGGCTAAGACAATCAAGATCTGTTGGCTTATAAAATTGAGTTATGACGAGCTCAAGTTCTTAAACTGTATCATAACATCCTAGGTTTGTTACTAGGCCATCTCCATTTGTCCACACTCTACATGTCAAGTTCTAGTGAAGGGGTGTTCATATTGTGCCACCCACATTTATTTGTATGCATACTAGATTTCCCATCTTGGATTTCGGGTGATGGTGATGGTGTTGAGATCCTACTTTAACAAAAAAAAAAAACAGCCCTCAACTCTTAAGCCAGTTCTTGTGGTTGAGTTAGGTCTAATCTGAATAATAAGAAATAAAAATACCAACAAAGAGATAATATAAAACAACAAGACCAATTTTTTCGAATGTTGCACATACCCTCGCAGTCAACTCCAGACGATTATCTTCCTTCACCATCTCCATTAGAGCTGTTTCTAGTTCTTCAGCTCTGCTCAAGATATGAAACACGCATGGAAATGGATAAGGTATTAAGAAAATCCCACAATTTTTTATTGAATAGATTAAGTTTTCATATTGATAAAGGAACATGGGTAATGAAAATAGGAAAGATACATATATAATATCAAAAGTGCTGTATACAAAGCATTATAATGATTAATAATATTTGAAATTACAAGCAAGAAGACCTGAATGGAATATAACGTGGGTAAACAAAAATGAAGAATATTAAAAAATGGATCAACAATTAGGGGCTTAGAGAGATTTTAGACAGGTCCATATATGGTTGGTTGAGAACAATTTCCAAACTCGGTTTCAGGGATTGGTTTGAACACAATCATTGGAAATAATATTGGAAGGAATTTCTTATGGGTAGGCTTTGAATTACTCTAACGGCAGCAGATAGGTGAGTAACATGGCTAAGCATGAGGATAATTGCACTGGGTTGATAAATCCTTCACAAACTTAACTTTTCCATCAATTCTATTTGAGAAACATTGTGATAACTTTATACGTAGAAGGATAAAGAACAAATCAAGTTGTCTTAAAATATTGAGAATTAGAGTATGGATACTAATAATAATTACCTGAGTATGGAAGATCTTTTCTCCTCCAACAATCTGCACATCTCAACCTTCAACAAAACTACCTGCACAAAAGCTGTTAATCATCGAAACTAAGAGCTGCACAGTAACGCATTACAATAAAGCAACTATTTATAGGATAGATACTTTTAGATTACTGTAAACCATAATTAAACCAGGAAACTACACTTTGAAATTATGAATTGTGGTGATAGTAATACCACGTGATTTCAATCAAGAGTATTTGTGTCACGTAGCCAACCTTCACTTAGAAAAAATAAACTAGGTTATACTAGATGAATTTTGCAGCTACTTACAGTATTCAGTCATGCCAACTATGCAATGTAATAGATACTCATCCCGTTCCTTTTACTAGTCGTTTTCAAAGTTTAATGCAACATGTACTATTGGTTTATCAATAATACCCTTAAGTATTTATTGGAGAGAGATAAATAGATAGAATGCAATAATTAATTGTTAAGGGTATTATAGGGTTAAGACAAATAATTTCAACAATAGTAACAAAATTAATTAGTTTTCTTTGTATTTGTAAATAATCTTAAAATGAAACTGAAAAAGAACTGAAGGAGTAACAAATAACACGTTGACAATAGGCAACCCGCACGACCCTAAAAATTAAGGTCAATGGATAGATAACTATATATTACATATTACATTTGCACAAAATTGCATACTTCTCTAGTACGCATATGGAAAATTTGATTTAATTAAACATGTTTTATCCATGACATAGTGATCCTCCATTTTCTTTATTACAAAAAAAAAATAGCACTATATTTGTAAATAGCAGGCCAAATTGCAATCATTTATGTCACTGAAGTATGTATTTATCTAACCAAATACTCTGCACAAAAATCTCTATAAATTATTAATTTATACAAAACAAAGTTGTAACAAGCTATCAATCCCATTGTTGCTAAGTAGACAGATAATAGATCTACAAATACATATTTTGTTACATTTTAAAGTGAATCAGAGAAACACTGTAAAATGTTCGTAGAAAATAATTATCTCCATATGAAGCAAGTACTTTTATCAGTACAATTTTCTGATGAATAAGATCTAATTTCATTTTAAAGGACAAAAATACAGAAGTATTAAAAATCAACAAATAAAAGCCCATTGAAGATCCAGCATTGCAATTTAATATCATCCTATTCTAGTTCCTTTTAAATCTTTTAAATGCACCCGAGTCAAATGGTATATCGGTATCACAGATAGGTAGAGTGACTTAGTCTTGATCTTAAGCATTGTTTAATTTCAAACTGTAAACAATACAGACACCTTTTACTACTATCAAGTTAACCAGATTCAAGATAGAACATGACAAAACAGACACATCTTAGAGGCATTTTAGCATACTGGTGGAATTATACATGGAATTAGACTTTATTAGTAGAAAAATATCAATCTAATTCACAAGGATAACCTTGTTTTTTACAATGGAGAAGAAAGGTGAAAGTTGAGGAGGAGAAGCAACCTGTTCCTGGAGATCGGGTAGGGAATCCATTTTGGAATCAATATTGAGACTATTAAGCAGTTCATCTAAGTTAGAGGAATGGGACTCCAAATCCAACTGCACATCCTTATCAGCTACCATATCACCTTTGTCATTATCTTTTTTTTCTTCCACCAGTGACTCTGGGTCATGCTTGAAACTATACAATTTAGTTGCAATCCCCTTGGAATCTTTCCAAACTCGTCCTTTCCTTGACCTCTCTTCTATAACTTCTAATACAGATGGGCGGTGTTTTACTCTCAGTTCCTGCAATCTTGCCTCTGTCACACCTAGAAAACCCATACAAGCAGTAAAGACAAGCTGGCTGCTATCAAATGTCGAGCCAACAAGTGATTGCAATAGAGTAATTGCATCACCTGCATCTTTTGTTGTAACTAATGCAGGACCTAGAATAAGAGATATGTTATTTAACAATGTAAACAATTCCTTAGTTTAGTTTACTACTTGGTCATACTACTCAACACAGATCAGACACAAAAATAGATAAACAACAAGTCAATACCATATAACTCCATTAGAGCCAGCGCTGTTCGAAATAGCATAACACGATTTCCTTCAAATAGCAGAACATCCCAAACTCGAATAACTAATAAGAAGAAACACATCAAAAGGCAACATTAAAGAATATGCCAAGTTCAAAATCAATGTTGTAATATTACATTAAAAAAAATCATTCCAAAAAACATTTTACCACTTTCCCATGGAATCATGTTTACAAAGATTGATAGAAACCACGGCCCAGATACCCATGCTACCTGCACTCCCAAGTAATCTAGATGATTAACTGCACAAAAAACATTCGTAGAATAAAAAATGCTATCCAAGCTGATTCAGAGACAGTTATTAGAAATATACTAGAGAGTAAATATGAGTAATACGAACCAAGTTTAGGAAATCTTTCACGCATCAATTCCTCAAAAACAAGCTGGTCCACCTAAAAGGTTAATAGCTTCTGTGAGATAGTGACTGGCAAAGAGAATTTATCCTAAATACTATGATTCACACCTGGGATTCTATCATTTCTTCAGTATAGTAGCCTTCAAAATAATCATCAATAATTCCAACGAAGGCCCTGAGTTATACCAGTCCAACAAACCACATCATATAAACATAAGACAAATTAAACCAAATATTGATCTTGTTGTAAATAATTTATTTTTATAGTTACTTTACTATTGTTAGTAGTAACTTGTATTCGGACCTTTAGTCCATTAGTCAGACCCATTAGGTTAGAATAGTCTATATAATTTATAAAGAGATTAATGCTTATACGTTCTTCATACTTGAAATATATTATTCAGTTTTCACGTTTTTCATACTTGAAATATATTATTCAGTTTTCACAAATTTATAAGAGAAACTATTAAGAAAGATCTAGAGATTAATGAGTTAAATAAAGATATGACTTATTATGAATGTTATGACGTCACTTGATCAATATAGCCGATCCCACTTAGTGGGATAAGACTTGGTTGTTGTTGTTGTAACAAATAAGGTTTATGACGCAGTCGAAAGCCCTAGAGAATAGCAAGCGCTAAACCTAGAAAAGGAAAACAGGGTTGCAAGCGCAAAACCTGTCAAAGTAAACTGGAATCTACCAGAACAAAGAAATATTTGAATTTTATTATATAAAAGATAACTCTTATGGTCATGTCAAAGGTCTTTAAATATATAAAACAAAATAACCTTAATGGAATAACCCTAATGGACCTTCAATCCAAAACCTAATTAAATAAAACATAATTAAATAAAACAAATAAAATAGAAATTGCTTAAATATTAAAATAATATTGTTTAAATATTAAAATACTTTCTGATACGCGATATCTTCTTTGATACGCCTAGGACAGCCCTCTTACATCAGACTCCTTCACTTCTGAAGAACTCGACCCCGAGTTCTCTTCTTTATAAAAAGCTTCATCTGATTGTAATTTGCTGTAAGTACCAACTGGAAATCTCTCCTTATGCAGAAACGTCATCACATCTTCTCCCACATTGAAAACTTTAACTTTCATGTTTTTATCTCACATAGGAGGCAAATCGTTTGGTAGCTCATCTGCGGTCGACTCTTTGAAATTCTTTAAGACCCCAAGCAGTTCTACTGGAATTGTCGTTTTCTCCTTTACATCATTCATCACCTCTTTAGTCAATACTGGACATAAAAATTTAGTTTCTTTAATAGTCTCCTCAATCTCCTTTTCACTCTGTGTCATCACCAAGAAGCTAGACTTCTTTCCTTCTGAGTTCTTGTCAAAGTGCAAAACAGGAGCCATAGCAATTTTATGTGTACCCCATGTAAACATCATCACGTTATCCCTTCCTCGTTAAGTGATATCATTATCAAATTGTCAAGGCCTGCCAAGTAAAACATGACAAACATCCATATCAAGAACATCACAAAGTACCTCTTCTCTATATTGCTTTCTGATGAAGATAAGAACTTTGCATGATATTATTACTCGAACTTGGGATCCCTTGCTTACCCAACTGAAGGTGTATGGCTTCTTATGAGGTTCTGTGGACAACTTCAAATAATCTACCAATTTCTGTGAGACCAGATTCTCCATGTTGTCACTATCCACAATCAAATTACACACCTTGTTCTTGATAGAACAATGTGTTTTAAACAAATTCTTGCGTTGCCCTTCGTCTTTAGATACTAATAACATTCTCTGCAACACAAAATTTACCCTCTCATCAGATTCTTCCTCTGCAAATTCAACATCGGCATATTCATCGTTCTCAAATGCAAGATCTTCTTTTTCTTTATCTTCCTCCCTTTCTTCCACAACAACAGTGATTCTCCTTGTCGGACAAACACTCGATTTGTGGCCTCTTCCGTTACAACGATAACATGTGTCTATAGAGGGTCTAGCATGTGGATTATTCTGCCTTTGAATTGGTGTTTTACCCTGTTGCACACCGCTAGAGCTGCTAGCCCCCTTATTCTCAGGGTTGGAATCCTAGATTGTTGCACTATTTTCCTTGTCGTCGACTGATTCTAAGTTATTCTGGGACGAATACCTAAAAGATGGGAAATTTCGAGGAGATTTCTCTATTAATTCTGCCTTCAAAGTCATACAGTCTGTAAACCATCTTCTCCTGCAAAGATCCCTTTAGGTCATTGATGTATCTAGCCACTTTCTGGCTCTCTGATTCTCCTAATTCATTGCGCTCAGAAAACCGCAGAAACTCAGTTGTGTATTCAGTCACGGTTCTCTTGTCTTGAACACACTCAATGTACATCTTATAAAGAATTTGTTCATAATCCTCCGGTAAAAACCTCTCCAACATCAATTGTTTCATTCTTCGCCAAGTTCTGACTGGCCCCTTCCTTTGCTTCTGTCTTTGGACAACAAGTTTATCCCACCAGACAACTGCAGTACTTTTAAGCCTGATTGCAACCATCTTAACTTGTTTGTTCTCAGGGACGCCCATAACGTCGAAGAACCTGTCGACGTCAATCTGTCAATCCAGAAACTCCCCCACTCCCATCGTTCCATAGAATAATGGAATATCAGCCTTCACTCGATAATCATGATTATGTCGATTTCGATGATCAACGACCTCTTCCCCGTCTTGTTCTTCTTCTTCGGAACTTGAATTGTCAGCAATAATAATGTGATGATTGTTTCCACCCCGTGGAACCCTAACATGTTCTCTTCCATGTTGTTGTTGTCCACCTGATTTGTTAAATTCGCCATCTGGTCAGTCAAAGCAGTTAGAGCCGCGGTAAAAGTCGTGGTAATCCCCTCAAGATCTGCTTTGGTCACCGGTTGATCCGCCATGGTTGTCAAGCTACGAAAAGAACAGGAAAAACCTGCTCTGATGCCAACTGACGCAGTCGGAAGCCCTAGGGAATAGCAAGCGCTAAACCTAGAAAAGGAAAACAGGATTGCAAGCGCTAAACCTATCAAAGATAAACTGGAATCCACCAGAACAAAGAAAAATTCAAATTTTATTATATAAAAGATAACCCTTATGATCATGCCAAAGATCTTTAAATACATAAAACAAAATAACCCTAATGAGCCTTTAATCCAGAACCTAATTAAATAAAACATAATTAAATAAAACAAATAAAACAGAAATTGCTTAAATATTAAAATAATATTGTTTAAATATTAAAATGCTTTCTGATGCGCGATATCTTCTTCGATACGCCTAGGGCAGCCCTCCTACATCAGTTTAGGTTACACGGGAAATAAGCAGGGCAGCAGGAAAGTATAGATTCAAAGGAAATAATAACTGTAGCAGAGCAGCATAGATAACTGTTGGAGACTGTTTATTACAGGTAGTTAGTTAGTTTGCAGTCATAGGAGGGCGAGATAGTCACATAAATCTGGAAAATAGGAATTGCTGGTTATTTTGTTTTTTGAGAAATAGTTGCGTGCAAAGTTATCGGTGTTTTGAAGACCTGGATACCCAATAACATTTCTATATTTTCACTGCCCCCGGCCTTTGTTTGTGCACTAGAAAACTAGAGGCTGAGGATTCAATTCATTAAAAAATATATTTGTTGCTTCTTTTGATACAGTTCTAGTATGTTTTATGTTAAAACATACCAATATGCAGTCATAAATAGATGAATATTTACAAGATTGAATTTCTCTTATAATCAGTTCATAAAAGACAAAATGGATGGAAGTTTATTCATTGGAACAACTATTGTCTATGTTATAAAGGGGACTCACATGGAGAAATACAAGATAAGTTTCGTAAACTTACCAAAAGGCATTTTCTTCTGGCATAAGAAGCAGCAACAAACCAGCGAAGAAGTTCATTGCCTGCATGTATTGGAGTAATAAAATTTAAGGACAAACACAATATGATGATTATGATGACGACGATGACAACAACAACAATGATGAAGAATAGCACCAGTGAAGAGATTAACAGATGCCATCAACAAAAATTCCTACTTTCAGTCAAACAATAAATACAAAACACACACACGTGGAGTAACAACAATGGAAATGCAAATATAGTCAATAATAGTGAGTATATTACCCTTCATGTTGCACAGGGCATAAAATCTTCCAATCAGCTCAAGCTTGAGGCTTTAAACCGTCTATATTTTTTAGCAAACACGTGGTTTTAAGGAGGTACTAACAAGTAGGAATGCTAAAAATCTTTAAGAATACTATATATGGACATATATTAATATATTAAAGAATAAGCAAAATAAATGGAAGGTGCTCTTGAAACAACAAATGGTCGTCAGAATTTAGTGGGGAAGCTAAAAATTTTAAAGAAGATATAATATACATGGAAATGCATTAATATATTGAAGAATAAGTAAAATAAAAGGAATGTGCTCTTATGACAACAAATGGTCATCAGAATTTAGTAGGAAAAATTTGGCAGACCACTAGCATCAATGCTAATGAGTCAGTCTTCAGAAATTAGCAGAAGAGACCTTATTAGTTTGCAAAACTTAAGTTGATTTGTAAGCATTGCCTCTGTTTTAGCCTTATTGTCTGATTATTTGAAAAACTTAAAAGCAAAATTTAAGTTGATTTTCAGTTACATAATTACTAATTTTTCAGAGTGCTAAGAACATGCTTACCACTCATTTTCTTATTGGGTGAAACCCATGTGGGTACGACACTTTGGAAATGGGTCCCGTATATAGTGGTGGGATCCACATTGGTTTCACCCAATGAGAGTGTTTCTAGCACACCTCTTTTTCATAAAGGGGGAAAATCACCATTACAGTTTCTGAACATAATAGCTAAATTTCCTAATGGCACAATATATTTCAATTTATTTAACCCTTACAGGAAAAAATACTTATTTGGAGGGATGTAAATTTTATAAGCAAGTTTCAAAAGCTTAAACATTAGAAAATTATAGCTGAATCAGTATTTACCAAGAAAGAGTTTTTTACACTATATTTACCTGACAGTATCCAACAGAGGGGTTATGTCGAGCATATGCTAGCAGTAAACGCCTCAAGGAATTTCTGCCGTTTTCGTCCAAAGCAGGGTGACCTGGGAAAGTTCGCGGTATGTCCTGAGAATGGAAAGTGCTATTTAGTCTAAGGAGAGAGCCAACTTGCAACATAAAGCAAAAGATGCAGCACCTACAAATCAAAATAAATTCCAGGGCGCATGCAGCTAATGACCTTCTCAATCTGCTTTCTCCATTTCCCTGATGCAACAGATTGAACATCTTGCTCCTTGCCTTCACAACTGTTAGTTTCTTGAGCTAAAAGGTCATCATAATAGCGCTCCACCCGCCGTGTGTTCACACCTACAAAGGCTTGCCAGACCTGTAACAGCAATATTGTAGTGTAGGGAAGGCTACTATACTTTTTCCCCCAACAAAAGTTGGAACTTGAGTGAAAAAGAAAACATAAATTTTACCTCTCCTCTAAGATTCTTGGGGACTCCTCCCTGAACAAGAGACTCTAGTTCCTTCCATGGGGAGAAAAGTTCTGGCAGGTCTTGGTTCATTAAATCATTTTCCGCCCTTGAACCACTACCACCATCTAGAGTCTCCTTAGTGCAGACCTTTCCCTGAATATCTTCCTCAGGATCCCCTTCTACAGGTTCTGATTCTTCTATAGATGGAAGGTGGCCATCACTACCATTTATCTTCTCACCTTTCATATTCTTTCCTTTCTTGACACGAGAGCTCAATATTTCTTCAATGGTACTAAGAGATGGCCTAATTTCAGCCCAGCGTTGAACCTTACGGGTCTTGCTTTCTTCTGAATGGTGCAGTTCCTTTGGAGAATTATTTCTTGTTGAATAATCCGAAAAAGACTCCCTCCTACTTGAATCACCCCCTTCACTAGCCGTCCCCAAACCAGTAACTTCTTTTGTCTCAGTTTCTCCTGAAAACGCCCTGCTACTTGAGTCACCTTCTTTTATCTCAGTTTCTCCTTCACTAATTTTGTCTGCATTTATCACTTCTACCTCCGCATATTCAGAAAAAATCCTGCTACTCGAATCATCCCCGTTACTTACCCTATGAAGACTTTTCTCTTCTTTGACCTCACTACTTTCAACTTTCAATGTTTCTTTATGTTTGTTCTCAGAAGAACTTGCTTGAGATGATTTATCTAGCTGTTCAATGAAACTTCCCCATTTATCTGACCTTTCAGCTTCTTCTTCCTGATATGATAAATGTATCAATTTAGGTTATTTAGTTTAATTTTTTGTTGTATCAAAAGGCTAAAATATCATGCTTCAATTGCTTTTTTTTATCATTCAGAGAAATATATGTAAGGATTGAAATATCAAACTAGACCAACAGTAGCATAAATCCAAATCGAACTACAATGAATTAATTACCTTGTAGATTAAGGAATACTCTCTATATCTTTGTGCGTATTGAGGCCTTAATGCAAATCCATAAGAATCCCTGTAGACATAGACTTACAATCATTTCTCTGATGGAGAAAAAGAACATACCAAAACCAATACAAACTATAATTTCTACATAAATGATGAAGAAATTCAAACACAGAACCGCAACAAAAATTCAAAATGAATGTCCTACAGCGAATACACGTGTGTAAAGCTTCACCGTATACATTACCTGGAATCAACCTCCAATGTACGTTTACTCAGCAAGGACAACAACATAGTTTAAAAACAGTTACAATTCTACAGCCCATAGCTTTCACTCTGAAAACTAATCTCACAAATCAAACGCTACCACCACCACATTTCAAACATCAAAGAGCCACATTCAAATTACACATAAATAAATCCTAAACAACATGCAACTAATCAAAATTCAGTAATCGGATCGTGATTGTACAATTATCGATCGATAATTTGTTTTCTTTTGTTAGAACAGTGACGGTAACGAAGAATGATTCAAAACTAGATCGAAGAATTAGCGAAATGTTAGGGTTCATAGACACGTGGAAATGGAAGAGAAGAGAAACGAATTATGAATGTATGTAAAAGTATATATACCTGTTTGATTTGAAATTGTGGAGGAGATTGAAAGTGGTTTCCGCCATGTTCGGTTGTGATGGCGCGAATATGAATCTGAAGAGAGTGATTAGGGATTAGGGAGTTAGTTTCGGAGGATCGTAAATGCTAACTGAATATGAGTCTTCCAATCCTTCTTCTTCTTCTTTCTCCGTGTATAAAATCGAAGCTAAAATTCCACGTCGCATGTTGATCGACTTTATGAACCACCTTTTTGTAGTATCAAAGAGTTCGTTTTTTATTTTATAATTTTTATAATAGAAGTGAAAGTTAGATGCCATAATGAATAGTAGGTAAATAAAAATTATTTATATGAATAAATTTGCAATAGATATTCACAAGTTAATTTTTATTAAGTGTTAGATAAATTATCCACAATTTCTAAAAAGCAAATAAAATATAATAAATAGATACTACTAATCATCATAATAAATAGATACAAATTATTACATGATTATAATTAATTGATTATTATTATTATTATTTAATATAGACTCTATCAACAAATCATGTCACTTAATTTTCTTTTATTTATTTTTTTTGCCTAACTTATTTGTCTTAGTGGGCTTTTTTTTTTCTTTTCTTTTTTTGATTTGAATAAACCATGTGACATTTGACTTGTCTTGGTCGGTTGAGAGGGTGATGATTGCCTCGTTCCTTAATGGATGAAGGATAGCCATTGCGGTTTCACATCTTCTTACCTCATGATTTGTGAAGGATAACCATTGAGGTTACTCCAGAGGTACATTCCTTTTGAAATTCGAACACTCGGTCAAATTAACTGAAAACTACTTTATCCCAGGTTAAAAATAAGGGTTTTTTCATATAGAAAAGAAACTCCTACTTCAAAGCTCAAAGGAGTTAACAAGAAATTATCTTCCTTATATCTCCGGTGTTTGGGAATTTGAAACAATGTTTGTACATCATCAGCAGGATTTTATTCAAAAGCATAAAACTAAAAATTTTGCATTTTTCAATCATCATTCTCCCTCCAATTTCTGCCTAAGCAAGAGAATTGGCAACAAGTTGGTATCATGATGCAGAAAAGCAATTTAAAATTGAAAACAAATATGAGTGAAACGAATGGACTTAAAGACATACATATTCATTGTATTAAGATAATCATTCAAATGCAAACAAATACTTACATGCAAACAGTATAGTGATAAACAAGAAAAATTACTAATGAAAAAAATAGTAAAATGCTAATAAATTGAGAAAACTCTCCATCTGGACTTCCAAGGCATCCTTCAATCAAGCTCACCAAAGTTCATACGTGCTTGAGCAGCGGGTTAACGTCTTTGAAGGATAAGATACCACTTTTATCAACTTTTGTACTTCTATCTTTAATGGAAAACAATTTTCAATGTCATGTCCAGAGGCGCCTTGGTGGAAATCATAGAAAGCATTGGCCTTGTACCACCAAGGAATTACTTCTGGGATAGCTGGCGATGATCTTGTCTGAACCAAATTCTTTTGTAACAAATCAGGCAATAATTCAGCATACGTCATAGGAATTGGGTTAAACTGATCCTTTTTTTGCGTACGAATTTGTTGATTTTGCTGCTGATGAGCCTTTTGAGCAGGGACCACAAGAGTTGGATTAACCACTAGACTAATAGAAGCAACTTATTGTTGTTGATGATTCTTGTCATGGCTTACCATGGGAGATAACATAGGAGTCTTGCTATTTCTTCTTATCAAAGTTGTCACCATACTTCTTAGAACCATTAGATGTGTCCCCATCCTTGGATAAACGGACTTTATGGACAGCTTCCTCTAAACAGACTCCCATGCTTACCATTTCGGTGAAATCAGTGGGAGCACTTACAACCATCTTCTCATAGTAGAAGGAACTAAGAGTTTTTAGGAAGATCTTTTTCATTTCTTTCTCTTCCATTTATGGGATAACTTGGGCGGCTACTTCACGTCATCTTTGTGTGTACTCTCTGAATGAATTATTATCCTTCTGAGTCATAGCCCTGAGTTGATCACAGTCAGGTGTCATGTTTATGTTGTACATGTATTGATTAACAAAGGCTTCACCAAGGTCATTGAAAGTGCGAATGTTGGTACTGTCCAAACCCATATACCATTTTGATGCGGCTCCAATCAAACTATCTTGAAAGTAATGAATCAGTAGGCGATGATCATCAGTGTGGGATGACATTTTCCTGACGCACATTACCAAATGAGCTTGTTGTACTTCTCAAATTTTGGTACTTTAAACTTGGCCGACACCTTGACATTAGGGAAAAGGAAAAGATCACTGACATTCTGATCGCACTAAATCGCACTATGTTTCTGACTCAAATATCACATGTTTTCCTTAGTTTTTATTGTCATTTTCTCGTATTATGTTCCTTTTTCCTTTGTTTTCAGGATTCTTGTCATTTCAGAGCCTTCTGTGAAGAAACGAGCCAAAACGCCAAGAAATTAGGGTTTTTCAAGATATTTTGCACTTATGGCGTTCAGCACCGCGCTGGCTACAGGAAACGCGATGACGTGGCCCACTTTCACCCAGAGATCAACTGCCACGTTCCCATGATGTGGCGGTTCCAGGCGCCGCGCCCGCGGCCACCCTCACCGCGCCCGCGGCCTTCACAAAAAGGCTCCCGCTCAAAAGAAGTTAAGGGGCATGCTGGTCCTTACGCACCTCAAAGTTCCTCTATAAATAGCTTTCGATTCTCATTCTTTAGTTTCATCCAAGCTTAGTACAATCTTAAGCCATATACTATCAGTTTCTGTAAAGTAATAATCTCTTCACATCGGGGAGTTATTGCGGTGTAGATTGAGTTGTAATCGAGTCTTGGAGCACTTTGGTTGAAGTTCATCATACCGGCCTTACTTTTCCGTAGATTTGTATCAGATTCAAGTCTCCGACCGGAGCAAGGTTCTAATTTATTGCATTTCTTTATTTAATTGCTCTTATCATAGTCTACACGTTTTATAGACTTTAAATGCTCTTACCATAGTCTACACGTTTTATAGACTTTAAATGCTCTTACCATAGTCTACACGTTTTATAGACTTTAAATGCTCTTACCATAGTCTACACGTTTTATAGACTCGCACTTATTATGTCTGGCTAAACTATAAAGGTTAGGATGTAATGATTGTCATCGTGGTTGTGTTCCAATTATCATGCTAGTGAAAATACTCTGGGGATGTTTTGCTTCTAACTTAAGTCAATTGTGTTTAAATGTTTATTGGGTAAGATCGAAAGCCGTCCAAACTAATGATACGACTTGATTATTATTTAACCAAACAAAAAGAGCGACAGCCGTTGATTGGTTAAATAGGAATCATTGACCTTTTTAGAAAACGATTTTGAAACTATTTTCGGACGCGTTTGTAGGTTTAAAATCTGACTCTTGGTCAAAAGCCAAAAGTCTCTTTAAGTTAATCTTTCCGAGTAAGATCACTTTTCTGTTAAGTCAAAACTATCAATTTCTTAAAAATAGGTTTACCTCTTTAACGCGGAAGGCACCCTTTATATGTGACAATAAAGGAATTTAATTTAAAGAGTAAACTCGGTTCTTAGTAGTCAAAAGCTACAGGTTCCCGTTAAACTGATTCTTTGCTATCAATAGAAAATACTGCCCCATAAGTAGGTTCATCTACGCATGACCGGACCAATATCTGATTACATGATTTACATTCCAACCTGTCTTTTAAACTGTTATTTCCCTCGCATATTTACTTTGTGCACTGCACTCACATCAATATCCTTATTCGCCTTAGATAAGCACCTTAGCAATAGAGTTGATAGATTGACAATTGGTCTCTGTGGTTCGATAATCTTATATATTACTTCGATAGGCTGTACACTTGCAGTACTACATTTAGGCTATACGTTACAGATAAAAACAGCCCATCAAGTTTTTGGCGCCGTTGCCGGGGACCAACTTCGTCAAATTTCGTACCCTATTGTTATCCCGTTTAGACTAAGGCTATTCTAGCCGGTAGATGCGTAGAAATCGTAGCACCGGCAACCTAATAGATCCTTTAGTAGAACCTGAACGTTACGCTCGTGCCCGTCTTTTTATTCGCAAGATAAGAAGAGCTATGGCAGAAGATCGTAACCAAAGACCGCTCAAGGAATTCACCCAACCATCTAACGAGGAACCTAGTTCTAGTATAGTAAACCCTGCTATAACTACCAACAACTTTGAACTAAAGCCCTCGTTACTACAATTAGTACAACAAAACCAATTCGCTGGTCTCGCTACCGAGAACCCGAATCAACATTTAAAGGTATTTATCCAGTTAGCTGACACCCTTAAGGCAAATGGAGCCACGCCCGAAGCTATCTGATTAAGACTATTTCCTTTTTCCCTTAGAGGTAAAGCTCACGACTGGTTAGACGCCCTTCCAACTAACTCAATAACAACTTGGGAAGACCTTAGGAGAGCTTTTCTTGCGAGGTATTTTCCACCAAGCAAGACCGCTGTTCTTAGGAACCTGATCACTTGTTTCACCCAAAACCAAGGCGAATCACTTTTTGATGCCTGGGAGAGATATAAAGAACTTTTAAGAGCCTGTCCGCACCATGGCCTAGAGCAATGGTTAATCATACATACCTTCTATAATGGACTCCATTACAACACAAAGATGTCCATAGACGCTGCCGCTGGCGGAGCGTTGATGAACAAACCTTACCCTGACGCTTGTGCCCTAATAGAGGACATGGCCCAAAACCATGCCCAATGGGGATTAGAACGAGCGACAGTAGAGAAAAAGGAGAGCCATGGAGGAAAGCATGAGGTAAGTTGCATGGACATGATCAATGCCAAGATGGACGCCCTAGCCTTGAGAGTCGAGAACATGTCTCAAAACCCAACCACAGTAGCAGCAATCCAATCGGAGTGCGAACTCTGTGGAGCTCAAGGACATCAAACCGTTGACTGTAACCTTTTGAACGAATCAAGCTCAGACCAAGTTAACTATACTCAAGGGAACCCTTTCTCGAATACCTACAATCCTGGATGGAGGAACCACCCGAATTTCTCTTACAAAAACAACAACC